TGGGAACTGCTGCAGAGCCTGGGGCCATGGTTGTGTCAGTCAAAGGCACCTGATCTGCTTGGTCTTGGGCAGACCTAAAAACCTGCTCCCTTTTGTCAGAGGTCAGGGTGGAAAAGAAGATCACATGTAATCATGACAAGTAAGGTCACAGGCTTGGGTAAGATAAGGAAACTCTTTGGTGTAGGTGGTGGGATTGTTAGTGAAAGAGCCAAGAAGCTTTTCAGTCAGGGAGAGACCAGACGGAGAGGAAGGACCATGGACCCTAATTCCTCCTTCAGTCCCCGCCACTTCCCAGAGGGGACCCAGAAGAGGACCACCCAGAGCAGGTGTGGCGGCTGGGAGGTGAAAAAAAAGAGGGGATGCTGGATTGGGGAGCTGGAGGAGGTGAAGACTGAGATCTAGAGGATCAGAGAACGTTGAAGAGGGTCCAGAGAGGGTGAAGAGTGAGAGGAGGCTCAAGACTTGGAGAGTGTGGCAGGTTTTCAGGAGGGAGGGGCTGGAGGGGGGGACGGGAGTGCAAGAGAAAGCCAGCCTGGCCCTAAGGGATCTCTGACCATTTTCCATTGCGGTGACAGAACTCTTTAGGTCTGTAAGGATCGAGAAGTCAAAAGCGCCATGCTCGGCCCGTGGGAGCCATTGTCCAATTGGTATTGAGGCCACGCAGCGCTGCAGTAAAAGATGAGACGCTTAGGGCACATATCTGGCCTAAGCTCCCAGGGACCGAGGATTGAGAGAAGGCATCTGCCGCGAGGGTGATAGATAAGCTTCAGTCAGAAGTTGGCTCTCAGAGAGAATTTGATTCCTATATTGGTCACACACACACTTAAGTTCATACAGGCAAGCCAACCCCAGGTTCCCAAAGTACCTCCGACTGAAGACAGCCACTGAGACTTGTCTTACCCGGGCCTTCCACCTAGGTGGATGTTCTCTGGCTGTGGAAGTCTCTAGGCTCGAGGACCCGCAGTGCAGATGGTCACGCAGGGTGTTGAGCTGATAGGCCGCTTGTGCCGCTGTCAGGGAGCAGGCCGTCAGGGAGCCTTCAAAATTCATGCTGGGGGTGCAGCCCCCATCCCCCTATGTGAGTGTGCTGCTGGGGCAGGGCAGCCAACTTGGGAGCTTTGGAACCGGATCCACCACAGGGCAGAGGAGGTCTGACCCCTCCTCCTTATTGTGGCAACTGAGTCCCTTCAGGAAGGCTCTGGTTGTCTGATGGCTTTGGAAAGCCTGAGGGTCCAAGCCACACCCTCGGCCCGCAGCCACCTTGCAACCAGGCAGGCCACAGAGCGCCTTGCCCTCCATGCCTGCTGTTGCTGTTCCCGCCAGCACAGGGCCACCGCAGTCCCTGTGCCCCAGGTGAAGCACCGAAACCTGCCTGCAGGCCCATGGACCTGGGCCTGTTGTTCCATAGTGTCACTTCTCCTTTTTCAGCCAGGGGACCTCAGTGTCGGCTGACCTGGGCAAGTCGGCTTCTCTGAGTTCTACCCAAGCTGGTCAGTAAAACTTGCCCCACAGACCTGCCTGCCCCCGCACCCCTACACTGATGCTTGCTCTTCTGCTTTTCCACTCCAGGAAGGGCCCAGCCTCACCTACACGACCTGTGGTCCCCAGCCAGCTGAGGCTCCCCTCTTAGACTTATAAGCCTGTGGCCACTAGCATCTGGCCTCCTGCCCTCCCTGCCTCCCCAGGGTCCATATGGGGAACTACTGTGCTTTCTGCCCACCCCAGGGGGCCCCCGGTGCTCCCTCCAGCCATCCTCTCAGCTCTGCCCTCCCTGGGCAAACAGTGGTATTCCCCTGTCTTTCTCCATCAGAAATGGTGGTGTCACGTGGGGCCCGAGGCCGCCTACTCCTGACACTAAGGGTGACCCTGGGCTGGTGGGTTGAAAGACAGGGGAGCAGAGAGGAGGGAGCCGGAGGGGGCCGATCACATGTCTGGCACAGGGGTGCACTGTCTCGTGTGTGTGAGAGGCCGGCAAGTGAGCAGGGAGAGGCTCCAGCTCCTGCTCCTACATCCCCCCTCCCTGTCCCCCTCTCCTCTCATCCAGAACCCCTGCCCACACCCTCCCCTGCTTCGTCTTCCCTCCCCACCTCCCCCCAGCGCTGCAGCCCAGGCTGCACCTGCCTTCCCAGCTCTCCCCCTTCTCTGCCCTCCCCTGTTTTCTCTCTGCTTCTCTCCAGCTGCCAGCTGATCGGGTCAGGCAAGTCCATCCCATCCTGAGAGCCCCAGGGCCCCCTTCGGCTTCTAACCAGACCCCTCCTCTTCTTGGGACACCTCTCTTCCCAGGCCTGCCTGGGTGACTGTTCTGTGACTTGGCCCCCGGCCCCCAAGCCTCCCCCTTCATCTGTGACTTTAGTCTGTTGTGGTGGTGAGCTGACACCCCAGGCGTGACCTCGGTGACTCTTGTGCCCCCTCGGTGGTATTGCTCCTGCCCTGCTCTGTACATGTCTATAAATACACGGGCACACACACACGTGCAAGCGCGCATCTCTGGTGCTGGGAACCGCCGGCTGTGCTGTCCTTCTGAGTCTTGTGGCCCAACAACAAGCAAACACTATCACCCCAGCCACCCCCGCCAACACATGCCACCTCCGACGAGCCTCCCTGCCATTCCCGGCCTGTGCACAGTCAGCCCCCCCAGCCACCTTCCTGCCCCTTCCCCGAGCATGGGGGTGCTGTCCCAGCAGCTTTGTGCTTCTGGCCACAACCAGTCCTGCTGTCTCTTGGCTGAGAATGAAACCCATTTCTGAACAATGGGGAGCAACGTGTTGTGTGCTGGCTGTGTTCTGTGGCGTTCAGGGGGAAGGGAAGGTTTAAGCAGGGGGGCGCAGGGGTGCCTGGGAGGCACCAGTTTTTCCCAGGCTGCTCGGGAAAGCACCTGGACTTAGCTGGTCTTCATCTGAACCCTGCTGTGGCCACCAGGGGTAGAGTGCCAGCCTAGAGGACTCATGGGGCCTGGGTGGGAGCCCCAGAAGAACAGGGTGAGAGGAGAAATGCCTAGGCTGGAAGCCAGTACTCTGGCCCTCCCGGGGCGGAACGCAGCCCACAGGCCTGACAGGTCAGAGAGCTGAGGGGGATTGGATGCCCTGAAAGGCAGCGCCAATGCGCACCTTGCACCCCGAAGCCTGCCCTCTGCTGGCAGGACCCACACCCAGCGCAGCCCTGAGCTCAGAACCCAGGGCCCGACCAAGTGGTGAGTTCGGTTTAATCAGAAACAAAAGTGAAACACCAGGAACCACTCCCTGGCCTTGCCTCCTTCCTCTGTCCTGGGCGATCTATAAATAAGTTTCCTCGATGTCAACTGATTCATAGAAACCTCCTCTCCCAGGGGCCACCGCAGCCTCCGCTGTGATACAGGGGCCGTCTCAGCCCCATGTACACACATCCCAGTACAGTATGTACACCGTGGGGCGCCCGCGCGCCTTCCGCCTGGCCTCCACCAGCCACCCCAGCCCGGCTTCTGGCCAAGCCCATTTTTCCACAGGGTTGGGGGAGTGTGTACCCCCAAATTGCCTCAGTAAGCCATGCATCCCCTCTATGGGGACTTTCTGTAAAAGAAGCAGTGAAGACCACCTCTCTGCAAATCCGGGGTGGCCCCAAGATAATCAGGCACAGAGGCCCACGGGACTTTTGCAAAGACAGCAAGTGGAGGCCACCCCCTTGTGGACTGCGGTGGCCTCATACCTGTGGGACATTCGAGAGGAGCGACGGGGGAGGCCACCCCTTTGCGGATTGGGGTGGCCTCATGCCTGCAGGACTTTTGTGAGGAGGGGGATGGGGGAGTCCTCCCCTTTGTGGATTGGGGTGGCCTCATACTTTTGTGAGGGGGCAAGGGGGAGACCACCTCTTTGTGCACTGGGGTGGCTTCAGGCCTGTGGATCTTTTGTGAGGGGCGGGACGGGAGAGGCCACTCCTCTGCAGATTGGGTGGCCTCATGCCCATGGGCCTTTTGTGAGGCGGAAGGAGTAGGCCACCCCTTTGCACATTGGGGTGGCCTCATGCCCGTGGGACTTTTGTGAGGAGGATAGCAGAAGCCACCCCTTTGTGGATTGGGGTAGCCTCATGCCCGCAGGACTTGAGGGGTGATGGGGGAGGCCACCCCTTTGCAGATTGGGGTGGCCTCATGCCCGCGGACCTTTTGTGAGCGGGGACAGGGGAGGACACCCCTTTGAGGACTGTGGTGGCCTCATGCCCGCGGGACTTTTGTGAGTGGGACAGGGTAACCTCAAGCTGCAAGACATGTGTAGTGAGCAGAGCCCCCCCTTAACAGGTGGGTTCCCACAAAATAATCGGGCACACATTCCCATGGGGACTTTTGCTAGGTAGTAGGAGAGGCCTCCCCTTTGCAGATAGGGATCACCTCCAGAATAATTGGGTGCAACAAAAAGTAAAAATAAAAAAAATAAAGAAAAATCAAAACAATTATTGGGTCCAACAAAAAATTAAAAACAAAACAAAACAAAGAAAAACAAAAACAAAATTGGGTGCAAAGGCCCATGGGGAAATTTCAAAAGGGAGCAGGGGAGGCCACCCCTTTGTGGATCTGGGTGGTCTCAAATAAACCACTGCTATCTCTGAGGCTACACTCTAGACAGGTGTTGGTGCCCACCTGCCCCAGCTGGTATCTCTGTCTGGACTTAGCCCCCGTGCTGGGCTTTCAAAGTGCTGCCCCGCTCGACATGGTTGGGGTGAGGTGGGGGGCACGTGGCCCAAAATTGCCTAAGATAACCTAGGCCCTCTGCAAGAAGGCCTGGTAAGGATTCAATTGGTCATTCAAGGAGCCCCTATATTGTAGAACGGAGCCCCCTAAATAACTAGCTGGATATTTCTAGCTCCTTGCCTCTGGAAGTATGATTAGTCCAGAGTTAAATGAAGACACAGCCCTAACCTCAGAGGCTAGGGTCTGCACCTATTTCACCCTATTAGATAGGGGAGTTGTTGGACCCCTTTATTAAGCCGAGGGATGAAAGGACGACTGGGAAGGAGAGCCAAAGGATGGGGGGGGGAAAGCCTGGGGAACAGGGATGGGTTGGTGAGGGCCAGGTGGGGGCAGAGCCTCCGGCCCCATGCCGGTGGCCTAGACCACCATTATCTTCACCTCGTTGTCGTCAGCCTGGTAGAAGAAGGGAAGGCATGGGCTGTTTCCAATGGTGACGCCTTCCTCGGAGTTCTGCATTTCTTGAAGCAGCTGAACGACCTGCTGCGCAGAGGCGTTCTCGAGGGGAGTCAGGCCCAGCTGGGCCTCACCCTGGGTCGGCTGCACATCGTGGACAAGGCTCACCTTACTTGGTTCTTTAGAGAGAGTAAGGGCAGGAGCAGGGCACAGCGCAGGTTTTCTGATCCCATGCAGACCGGGTAAAGGAGGAGTCAGAGTCCTCAGTGGCTTTGCAGGTTTTTTATTGGGGTTCACCAGGCATATGGCAGGCAGGGGTGCTGGCTGGGGGGTTGGGAGGCTGGCAGGCCTCCGGCCCCCAGCAAATCTTCACTTTATCTGGGCTCTCTGGTGATCTCGGCTTCTCTTCCGGCTTCAGCTTCGGCTTCTACTGCTGCTGCTGGCGTCCCCGTGACGCCGCCCTTAAAAGCACAGTCTTAGCTCAGCTGAATCCCATCTACCTATGCCCACACCCTACTCCAGGTGCCCGCCATCAGGCATGCATTCAGGACAAGGATCCATCATCTATCCTGATGGCGGAAGGGCAGAAAAGCCTGATATTTTCTTTACCCTACAGAGAGACAGAGACAGGATGCTGTGTGCCTGGCGGAGTGTGCTCTTCCTGAACAAGCCCCGTTAGGGGCTTTCCTCACCTTGGACGTTGGCGGTGCCAAGCTTCTTGGGGACTAGGCATGCGCTAGTGGGCTCAGCAGCAGGGTTCTGGGCGGGTGCTCAGGGCTTCGCCCGCCATTCGTTGTGCACCTCCACCAGCCACAAAACCAGCTCTTGCAGCGCTAACAACTTCACCTGGAAGCAGAGATGCTCAGAAGCCCGCCCTGCCCCAGCCGCACCACCATGGAGCCAGAGCTCTGACTACCTTCATCTCCTCTTTGTCCTGGGCCAGCTGGCTTATGGACTCCTCCTTCTCTTGGTGCTCCTCCCTCATCACTGCTCTCTGGTTCTGGTAGAGAGTGATGTATTCTCCTAGGGGGAGGGCGCGCAGACAGCTCAGCTGCTGGGGTCTCCCCAGCCTCTGCATAGCACCCCAGCTGCAGGGCACAAGCCTCCCTGCTCACCGATGGTGTCAGTCTCTCCAGACATCTGGATACATCGATGCTCCAGCTCCTCTATCCAGTCCTGTAAGCCCACTTTCTCCTGCATGAGCTCGATAAATTGGCCCTCGGCCAGACAGCGGGCTCAGGGGCTCAGCAGTGCCGGCCTGCCCAGCACCCAGCCCGCCCAGCCCTCCGGACAACCACACTGTAGGGAAAGATAAAACTATCAGGCTTTTCTGCCCTCCCGCCTTTAGGATAGATGAGGGAACCCTGTGGTCTGAATGCAAGCCTGATGCAGGCACCTGGAGTAGGGTGTGGGCATATGTAGATGGGATTCACCTGGGCTAAGACCGGGCTTTTAAGGGTGGCATTCACAGCAAAAGCAGAGAAACGTAAGCAGAACCGAGAGAGCAGAGCAGCAGAGACCACCAGAGAACGCCAGAGAGCCCAGAAAGAGTGAAGACTTGCTGGGGGCTGGGAGGCCTGCCAGCCTCCTGACCCCCTAGCACCCCTACCTGCCATGTATCCAGTAAATCCCAATAAAAGCCTACAAAAGCCACTGAGGCTTCCAGGACACTCTTCTCCTGGACCCAGTCTGCTGGATCAGAAAACCTGCCCCGTGTCCATTCCTTCCTCTCTTACAATTGGTGTAAGTCAGCAAGATGATCCATGCAGACCGGTATGGAGCCCTCCGAAGACCGGGAGGGACTGAGGAGCAGCAGACAGTGTTTGCCTGTGACAGCGCTGGACGTGTCATGGCGGGACAGGGGAAGGGCAAAGTCCGGGAGCTGCGGGATGAGACCTCGCCTGGAGGAGGAGATGCCCGAGAGGACCAGCCAACAATCCCCGCCTAGGCAGCAAGAATCGTCGGGGGAGAAAGGACCACGACTCAGAGCTCCCCAGTGTGGACAAAGGGAAAAGCCGATGAACTTGGACTAATGGACTAACAATCCCGCCAGAAGGGGGAGGACCTTGGCAAGTTTGATATGTTTTGGGACCCTGAGGAAGGATGGGATTGTCCACCCCCAGAGATGGGAGTCTGGGGGTGTCAGTGGGCCTTGGTGGCCAAAGGCAGCCGGTGTACTGCCCAGCAGCTAAGCAGAGGAGAAAAGCCAACTGAGAAGGCAAAAGCTGGTGCTAAGTTCGGGAAGCCCTGAGCGGCTGTTAAGCACTACGTAAGCTAAAGGCCAGTGAGTCTTTTAAAATCACCTGTGGGTGATGCCCTGCTCATAGTTGAGTGAGGGGGAGGAGCTGAGGAGCCCATCTTTGGGGGATGGGTAGGGAACGTGGCTTGTGGTGGAGCCCACAGCCAAAGAGGGGACCCAAGAGAGGCCGCATGTGGACTTGCATCCACGGATCCCCGACCCATGTGCTTGTGCAGTGGGTTGGCCTGAGTGCAGGGGCCTGCATGCTGGAGTGTTGGAGCGACCACAGATAGAAAACCCTGAGGGATGGGCGATTACCCCCAAAGAGTACAGAATCGCCAACCCAAGAGTGAGTGCATCCTGGGGGTGGATGCGGTGTGCGGCTTGTGGCCGAGACTGCAGCCGGAGGGGGCCGGGAGGCCTGATGGCTCCCGGCGTGTGACAGCTGATGCCTGAGTGGTTCCCTCCCTCGCATGAGCCATGCCTTTGGCAGCGGAAGTGGTGGATCATCTACTGGTGCCAATAATTGTCTTTTGCCACTAGGTTGATGCCCTGCCTGGACTTATTTGTGTTCTGTTATATTTCATTGTGATATATTTCATTTGCTTTTGTGGGCCATGGCTGCAGTGTTCCTATTCGTCAAGAGAAACGTGTGTATCACTTGTATAGACTGTCTGGCAGAAAACCCTGAGGGGGTGGATTGTAGGGTAAGGTAAAAGTATCAGGCTTTTCTGCTCTCCCGCCCATAGGATGGATGATGGAACCCTGCGGTCCCGAATGCATGCCTGATGCGGGCACCTGGAGTAGGGTGTGGGCATAGGTAGATGGGATTCCCCTGGGCTAAGATGGGCTTTTAAGGGTGGCGTCACGGGGACGCCAGCAGAAGCAGAGAAGCAGAAGCAGAACCGAGAGAGCAGAGCAGCAGAGACCACCAGAGAACGCCAGAGAGCCCAGAAAGAGTGAAGACTTGCTGCGGGCTGGGAGGCCTGTCAGCCTCCTGGCCCCCTAGCACCCCTACCTGCCATGTATCTGGTAAATCCCAATAAAGTCTGCAAAATTCACTGAGGCTTCCAGGACTCACTTCTCCTGTACCTGGTCTGCTGGATCAGAAAACCTGCCCTGTGGCCATTCCTTCCTGCCTTACACACACTCACCTGCAGTTTCTTCTTCTCACCAGGCTCCCTGAAGGGCCTGGTGGGTCTCCCCAGGCACACTTTCCCCCGGGGGCTGGGGCCTCCATCTTCTCAGGCTCCTGGTCCCATGGGGCTACCTGCTGAGCCAGGAGCCAGCAGAGCAGCTTTTGCTCCTTTAGCTGTCTGTGTAGCCGCGCCTGTTCTTCCTCAGCACTGGCCAAGGCCAAGTTACAAAATGCCACCTGTGGGCCAGAGGTGCAGGGTGCCCCTGTGGGCCCGGCAGGAGGTTGGGAGGCACACCTCTCAGGGCCTCCGTGGGCACACCTGAGATTCGAGGATGGTGTTGGTGTCTACCCACTGGCTCCCAGCAGAGGTGGGTGAAAGCTTAATCAAAGGGAGGGAAACCAAGAAGAAGGGTGTGCTGGTGGGAGGGGGAAGGTGGGGCAGGGAAGGGGCCCCAGGGCCAAGCTCACCATGGCCTCGCAGCTGTCTAGATCGTCCGGGATGCTTAGTTTTGTCAGGGGACCCTTGTCCTCCTCTTCCTCCTCCTCTTCACCGTTCAGTCCATTTACTGTTGGGGGGGGCAGCCAGAGGGGCTCAGAGAACCCCTGGGTTCTGAAGCAGCCCTGAAAGCCAGCAAGATCTGCCCCCTCCTCTCTGTGCAACCCCGCGCCAGCAAGTCCCCAAAGGAGAAGGATCCAAGTTGTCCTAAGGGTGGCTTCCATCTCTTTGGAGTGCTCCTTTAGGGGTGTCGGAAACTCTTCACCAGACTGAGACTAGCACTGGAGACAACACTCCACCAGAGTGTTGATGCTGTGTTGCTGGGCACTGTCCCTTACAGTTCCCTCCCTCTGTATTTACTTAGTTCCAACAGGGAATCAGTTAGTTGGTGATTTTGTTCTGGTCATGAGGTGGCAGAGAGACCTGTCCTTGCTGACCTTTGCTTTTTCCCAGTGGTTCTCGGCTGGCCTTAGGCTATTTGTAGGTCACTGTGGAATCCTTGTCTTCCTCTGATGGCGCCCGGAGCCGCTCGATCACCTCTGTGGTGATTTCTTCACCGTTCTCCACAGTTCCCATTTGTGGGGTGCGGTGCCTGAAATAGTTCCTCTCTACTCAGTGTCCCACTTGATCTGTAGTTCGTTCTTGCAGTTTTTTTTTTCCCTCCTTTCCGTTGGTCGGAGAGAGCCTACTCAGTGGGTGGGGGAGGGTGGTGAAACTTTTCTCAGACGTGACCCAAGAACCCCAACTGTGAACCCAACACCTCTCCAAAATATCACTCCTCACCAATGTCAACGTTATAAAAACAAGCAAAGTCAGAAACAGTCAGCAAGAGGCACATCGAGGAGAACTGGCTGTAACTGAGTGAGGCAATTTGGATTATGGAACATAAAATGTGCATTAGGAAGAACTGATGAAATTAAGCACAGAGTTTGGTCACTGTGTCAACATTGCTTCATTAGCTGTGAAAAAAAAAGACAACTGTATTCATGTAAGATGTTAACAAAGTGGAAATGGTGTGGGATGAATAAGAACTGTACTGTCTTTGCAACTTTTCTGTAAATTTAACAGTATTCATTAAATGTTATGTTTTTTTTTTTTAAGTCCTCAATACTAAATAGGTTGTAAAAGGAAAAAATGATCTACTTTCCTGTTTCCCAAGGTTTTGTTATCCAGAGGCTGGAGAGAGGGGTCCTGGGGAGTAAAGCTGGAAACCTCACACCCAGGGCATTCCCCGAGTCTCCTCTCCTCTGAGCCCTGCTTCTCTGACTCCTCACAGAGCATCTCACCACCAGGACGCCGCCCTCCAGGACCCCCAACTCTGCCCATCTCAGAACCGGCCCTGTCCGGGCAGCTCCACCAGAATCCGAAACACTCCACCAGAATCGGGAAACAGTCAAACAACCCTTTTTATACCGGGCTGCCCTGTAACAGTTTGGCGCAGTAAAGAAAAGGGGAGCCAAGCTAAACTTCCTCAAAGGAAGGGACAATTCATTGCGCCCCCAGGCAAGCGTCATACCCAAGATGGGTGTCCCTGAAATCGTGCACGTTGTGGGGGGAGATGTCATTTCATAGGGTGAGGAGAGGTTAGGCAGGAAAACTGGGTTGGTAGCGGGGGGGAAACAGGCTTAGGGGGAACTAAGTTGTTTTTTCGTGGAGCCGAGTTGTTTTCTCCTGCTTATGGCTTCAGTTTTGGTTTGATGGAATCAGGGGTACTGGTGTCAGGGCCATCTTGTTGTTTGTATGTGGGCTTCCCCATTCCTGGCCCCTGCATCGACCTTTCATACCAGCCTTTTGTTGAAAAGGGGCAATGGTTCTCTCTTTGGCTACTTCCTGCTGGACAGGGGCGAAGACCATGGTGGGCGCTCAGGCCTGGTTATGAGACAGTCTTTGCAGCGCGAGGATATGGGTGGAGAAGGAGTTGGTTAAAGGTGGTATGGGACAGTTCTTGGATCCGGTGTTGGATGAAATGGACTAAGCATGGGGCAAACAGAAAAAATGAGGAGATTAGGATAAGAAGCCCTATGAGTGGTAATACCTGGTCCGAGGCTGTGCTGATCTGGAATTGCTGGGCATAGACAGAAGAACTGGAAGTGGCTTGAAGAGATGGGATTAGAAACAGAGGAAGGAGAGGGGCCTCCCCGGTGGCGCAGCGGTTGACGGTTGAGCGCTGGGTTGTGAAGCTGCCCACAGCCTCTACAGCACCGGTTCAATCCCTGGCCTCAAGGCGAGGGTCCCACATGGCGGGCAGACCTCTCCTGCCGCCCACTGCTCCCCTCAGCAGTGTGCTTCGTCAAGTCTGCCTGTTCTGCTCTTCGCTTTGTCTCTGGTGAGTTCTCTCACCCTCCTGTGTTTCTGACTGTACCCAGTGCTTGCATAAATAAATCTTTAAAGAAAAAAAAAAAAGAAACAGAGGAAGGAGAATCAGAGGGCCTCTACTCTATAGGCTGAGTGGGATGTGGACCAGGGATGCATTGATGCAAACCCGAGTTGGGCCCATGTGCTTGTATACATACTGCTTGTCCACAGGGACCACTTTGACCCTGGACAGCTGATGCCTTGACAGCCGTTGGTGTAGTCAGGATGATCGTGTGTGGACCCATCCACTTTGGCGGAAGTGGTTTTGGAGAGATGGCTTTCAGAAGAACCTGGTCTCCAGGGCACAGCAGGTTGACAGGTGCATCAGGGGACGGAGGCACAGGTTGTGGCAGACAAAGGTCTGCGTGTTCTTGGAGCAGCTGTCTGAGCAAAGAGAAGTATGGAAAATATCCAGCCAACAGTGTAGGTTGGACGCGGAGCTCATGGTTAGTAAGGAGAGGTCTGCCATACATCCATTCAAGGGGGCTCAGGAACAAGGGGCCATGGGGAGTGGTTCGGAGGTGCACTAAAGCCAGTGGGAGCAGCTCTACCCAGGATTTGTGGGCTCTGTGGAGAGTTTGGCTAGGTGGTCTCTGGTCAGACCATTTACCCGTTCTACCTTACCAGAGGATTGCAGAGGATTGCAGTCGGAGGGAATGTGTAGTTTCCAGGTGATGCCCAGGGAGGAGACCTGTGGAGTAATCTTTGAGATAAAGGCAGGTCCACTGTCCGAATGGTGATGGTGTCCACCGTAGTAAGAAGAGGGTGTTACCTGCGTTAGGGAGTGGAACACCCGTGAAGCCTGGCAGGATGGAGAGTCGAGGATTGGGAGAGGGAGATGAGAGGGTCTTTGACAAAGAGAGTAGAAATCTAACAGACAAGAGGGTGATGGAGGGGAGAGAGCCTGATGAGTGAGCAGGTCCTGGAGCCAATGTGGAGAACTAACATTTACAGGTTGGCCCAGTGTGGGTTTTAAGGCCTTAGGTCTAGCAAGACGAGAAGCTGCCGCAAGTGCACGCAGGCAGGGCTGCCATCCTCTTACAGTGGGATCCATTTGTTTAGAGAAATAAGCAACTGCTCGCTGGACTGGCGTAGGTTGGCCCAGAACCCCTAGAGCAACGCCCTGTCCTCATCTGTCAATAACAGGAATGGCTTTCCCGGGTCTGGGAGTGCGAAGGCTCATCTCAGAGAGCTTTTCCTGGATAAAGCAGAGAAAATGGGGTGTAGAAACAAATAAAAGCGTGATCATGATCACCAGGCTACTATGGGAAGGATCCATGGCAGTAAGGGAGAGTTGGTCCAAGTTTGGATGTCCTGGCCCCAGCTTCAGCTGACAAAAGGTCAGTCAGAGGGGCTTTGCTGGTCAGATGAGCAAGCCCATGAATGTGTTGGAGAGGGGGAGACACCTGAGTACACACGATTCTCACCAAAACCTCCCTGTCAGACCTTCAACACTTTCTTTTGCTTGCT